TCAATTGGACATAAATGGCATATACTAAATAACTGTTAGTTTATAAACTAAATATTGTTATGAGCTCTGGAAACAAATTTACAAGGCTAAAACCAAAGTAAGGGCAGGAAATACACAACTCATATCAGTCGTGGGTACTTTGTCTCAAGTTGCGTTTTCCACTGCAATGAAGCAATTTATCCAGACCAGTTCTGACAACAGTATCTGCTAACACCATCCCAAACTCTGCAGGAAAAGAGCACTAGCATAAGAAGAAACTCTTAAACATCTTCACATCCGTTGTCAAGTATAAAAATTAGAAAGGAATCTCATGTGTATCAAGTAGGCAAACTGTTGTCCTTTGACCTTTGTCTCCAAAACCTGTAAAAGACATTGAAGTGATGTGGAATGGACTTAAGGTGGTAATTGAAGACTGACTTCGAACCAGTCAGTCACTGACCTATCCTCCCATATTATAATGTATATTCGTAATCTGAGTCCCCAGTCTTCGAGCAGATGATCTTTAAATATCTGGTCAATGCACCAGGGATATAACAAACCACGCATTTTGCTTTTGGGGTGTATTAAAACATTCTGATGTTTGCAGAAACTACATGGCAGTCTAAAACAGGTTTCATCATGATATATAATAAATTCTTTTGCAATGACAGAAACACATTCACGCATGACAGACGAAACTTGTCCTTTATTCTCCTAAATGGAACGTATAGATAACTGCACAAAAGAACAAACACAATCCAGGAAATAAAAGCTACAAGAACGGACAACATTGAATATACATGACAATATTGAAATATATACATTTGCGTGATCATATTACTGAAAAAATACAAACATGCTCTTTCCTGATGTCAATTTAGAACGCCTGAAATTGTGGGTTGGACTTGTTCTTCAGCAACCCATGCTTGTCCTAAGGGGCAATTGCAACTAACCGGATCGGGTGGTAAGACTCGCTGACTTGCACATCAGTTGTCGTAGTTGGGTGAATTGGTCTGGTCCATGCTCGATGTTAAACAATAGCCAAACAATAAAACGTCGTTATATGACAATATAAGATCAATTATTACTATACTTGTGATGTCATAAGAGAAACCAACATTATATAATATATCAAAATATATTAGTGAGTTAACACAAAACTTAAAAGCATATAAAGTAACCCAGTTGTATTATTGGTAATCGATTCTTGAAGCTTATGTGGTGTCCGTCAAGCATGATGTACACTCATTCGTCACCAACTCATGTTATTCCGGGACAAGCTGAATAGCGACTCGTGCCCCTCTGGAAGGATTTCATATTCGCGCATCAACATCAGAACTACTTTAAACAAGAACGATAACTCTATTCCTGTTTGATTCTTATGGTACTTCATATCACTGACTGTATTGTTGTTTTTGCTTCTGTTTATATTTATTAAAGAATTAAACCTATTGGATACAACTAAAAGGAAAAAATGTCTTACACATATTGGAACGTATTTATTACCAGCTGTTTACCTTATATTTCCAAATGTATATGTCTTCATAGGGTTTAAAGCTGTGTATCTGGCGATATTTTAGGCTGACGTTTTGGAGGTCATTCATACATTTTTCAGCATATTCATTGTACAATTCATCCAGGGGTTTGGCAGCAAGGTTACATGAATGTTCACATTGAGAAATATTTTAACGTATTTTTGAGTATCGCAAATGGGATATATTTTATTTTATATGCAAATAGTATAATGTTTGTCATTTACATTAAATCCAAGATATTTATTAATAGCTTCACATTATTTCTTCAATCTACGTTCTTTGACATATATTTTATGTTAAAGATTAAAGTTATATACTGGTTATATATAGCACCGCATATAATATTATTGCTTTGAAACTCGACAGCGATTTATAACTACTTTTCCTGGAAAGGGCGAGTTGTAAAGATGCACATTACACCTCCCCGGTCACAAAAAGATTACTACTACTGGAAATACACGACAGTTACAATCTATATTTGTATATATATTTTATGTCTCACATCATTTGTAGGCGATCAGAAACTAAGAGCAACAAGATGTAGTCGTATTTATTTGTATATATTTCAATTCTTATGTATATTCATGTACAAAGCTCGTGAAGATGAGACAGGAACACTTGCTCTTTCTTCTTCTTCTAATGTATATTGAACACGAAGAGTTACAATACTCAATGTGTCAATCGTCAAGGAGTTACTGTGAGCGCACAACAAGGAGTTATTATATGTTATTCTGTAATCGCAATCGCTAAAATAATGCATACGAAATACTAACAAATGAAACTACCAATTTCATATCATTGTAATACATGTAGAAAATCCACAGAGACATCTGGGTCAGAATAGATACCCAGTCACATATTCGTGCCAAGCATGGATGATAGCAACATTCTCCCACAATGGGACGTTGCATAAATCACAGAATAGCCTGGTCCAGACAGAGCGTGCAGTAAAACATCCAACAGACAAACGTTTCAGCTTCACAGGCCCAGTCTAATATGAATTAAAACAATAGAAAAGGGGTAAAGTAAAGTTCCCATGTCAAACGTGAAGAAGTTTGCTTGGTAGTTTTTAAGGGGGCCTCGATGAATTGCACCAACACTAAAACAATGGGGGTACACAAATCAATGGCGGAACACATATACCACATGTACCTGCTGCTAACAACAACCATGACCATAACGGCTAGGGTCGTGCATTCAAGGCTGAACTTTCACGAGCCTTACATTTACAGAGAAGATGTTAAACTAGAAATACAAAATTGCTGCAACACTTGAAACACGTGAAAGCTTTGTAGAAAGATAAAAAATATAATGTCAGCAAACGAATTGCTTCTTATGGGCAGGGGTCAGGTAGAGATAAGGGGAAACTCATGAGCCTTCAGTCTCGTGCACTTAAGACGGATCAAAATCATTTCCCCATCCACGCCTAGCTCGTCAATACAGGGATCATGTGTCAATATCACCGAGCAAACAAGAAACGTACAAATAATATATAAAAGCAATAGAGGTGATCAGACATCTTCGAAAACAGCATGGTCCTTAGGAGAACTAGTCGGCTCAACCGGTGTTTTCATAAACCTGCATAACTCCTCTAACTCCTCATAAGTTGTTTCTTTTCTTTCTCTTGTGCTTTCGTCCATGCTCTCATAAAGGACTGGAGGGTGTCCATCATCTGTAAAATACAAAAACCCAGGTTTCTGAGAAATACATGTGAGCGCATAAATAGAAATATAAGAGTTACAACTTTGGGGTTACTCACTTGGGACATTTATTTTTTCGGAGACATTTTGGATGGACCTCCTAGAGATAATTTACATTTGATTCATTTGAGTACTGTTATTCCAGTAATGTCACGGCGGAGAGTGGGTGAGTGAGTACCGGAGTATTTAAGCGAAGCACACAACATAAGAGAGTAGTATATAGCTACCATCGAGTGGGTGGGTGGGTTGAGCAACCTTTGCGTGTCGTAAGAGGTGACTATCATCAGGTTAGTGTCAGTTAGCTGACTGACACATGTCATTACGCCGTTAGATCTCATGCAATATTCCTCGAGTCCCAATGCCATATAGCGGAGGACATTTTGGAAGAAATGGGCTTCACTTTCATTTGAGTACTGGATTGGCATTTAAGCAAGTATACAACATGATATGTCAATAACAACTATGTAGTATATAGGGCTACAATCGCAATATGACATAATCCAGTCATCACGTCAAGATCCGGGTTCGAATTGGTCTTGAGCAACCTTTGCTTGTCGTAAGAGGTGACTATCAGGATCGAGTGGTCAGGTTTACTGACTTGGTTGACACGGCATCGTATCGCAACTGCAGCTGATCACCGGATTACCTAGTCTAGACTCTAGTATTTACAGACCGCCGCCATATGGCTGGAAATATTGCTGAGTTCGGCGTAAAACTAAACTCACTCACTCAATTAATGGCGGTTGTGCACAAAACGGAAGACAGCAAATATGGAAAATAGCCTGCACGTTGGAAGACACGATACGACCTCGAACAGTTCAAAGTAAGCGGCGAAAGTGCCATTTTAGATCAGAGTGAAGTTCCGCCTCCCAACTTTGATTGATGAATATGCGCCTGAAGATGTCTTTAACTGTGATGAGACTGGTTTGTTTTTCCGGTGTTCAGTCGTATTTTACGGCACACGGAAGATCATTCTCAGGTCGAAAAGGGATAGGTTCTCTAAACCGGCATGCCCTTTAGACCGGTATTTTTGCCGGTCCTAGCGAATGCCAGTTTAGAGGGCTTCCACTGTACTCAGTCTGTCGATAGAACTTACAATCGACTCTGCTTTTAGCAGAGATTTCTTAAGGATGTGGAAAGGGTTTTGTCGTGAACATGTATCTCCGGTGGCAAACTTTATAGCAAAGGGACTTTATGTGACGGCTATATTTTTTCTTGATCCAAACGCCTTATTTCCGGACATATTTCACAATCACTGGATTGCATTTTCATTATCGTAGATTTAGTTGGGTTATGTACTTTGGTTTATTTGTATGAAGCCAACGTTTCTGGCAACCAGTAACCAAATTGGAAACAATAGTAGTTTTTGAAAAACGTAATTTCAAGTTTGTTCAGGTCAGATTTGTAAGGTTGGTTTGGTTGTTGTTTAACGCCGCAGTCAGCAGTATTCCAGCTATATGTAAATAATCGAGTCTGTACTAGACAAACCCAGTGATCAACAACATGAGCATCGATCTCCGCAATAGGGATACGATGACATGTGTCAACGAAGTCAGCAAACCTGACCACCCGATCCTGTTTGTCGCCTTTTTCGACAAGCATGGGTTACTAAAGACCATTTCTAACCCATATCTTCACGGATCAGGTTTGTAAGGATATAATGGTGGTAAATGTTCAAAGAAACGAGTATTCATCTGCTGCAATGTGATGGTGTCACGATTTCGCCTTCAGAAAAAAATCGATTTTAAAGAGCCATCGCCAAATCCCCTTGTTATCGGTCTCATCGTCCTTTTCATCATCGTCGGCATCGCTATCATCATCGGTTTCTGTTACTGACTGAGGCGAAAAAATCGCAAGTCCAACCTCCAAGCTTCAGCGGAAGTAAACTCCATGAATGTTCCTTCATCGTATGTTGCTGCGTCAAACCCAACGTATGCGAATGTTACAGCTCCTCCATCGTACACAGAGGCTACAGGCAAAGGACTGGACCAAAATAAACACAAGGAATCTCAGAACGTAGCTACTACTCAGAAAGATTCAGATCTGTAACACTGAATACGGTTACAAGAAAGTAGACCATCCGTTTACTTCCTGAAACAGCCTAACCATGTATACGTCAGTCATACAGAAATACCATTCCCCAGAAATCAAACAATATCATATATAGGAAGACAAATTATTTCCTTTTTTTTGTTTTTTTCAGTATTTTTCCTGTTTTCTGCTTTTCGTCTCGCTACAAGGGAAGGGTGGCCTATATTTTCACTGAGCCTTTGCCTTAATACGATCTCTGTGTGTTTTGGTGCCAAGATAATACTCAGTCCACGGCTCAGATCATTCAAGAGTATCTACGGTCTAGTTACAGAACAATGAGTCTCTCAAGACGCTTCCTTCCCCCAGTGAATCAGTATGAAATTACACTGCTCAAATATTTGTATCCAAATTATATTTGTTTACAGATAAGACCAAACACATACTTCCATACCTATTCACATAACCTCAATACTATACTTTATGGCAGTTCCCAACAATCCCGAAATATTGGCATCTGCTTATATAAAATAGACAAAACTGATCATTAAATAGTTTATACATCTATATTAATTTCATTTTCTATTGAATGTATTACTTGAGCAGTAATTATATTCATTACCTATGTGGGAAAACAATAACCAACTCGTAACGGGGAATGACAGATCCCTATCTTTCCCGAGTTATATTAATTATGTAATTCTCGAGCCTTGTCTTTCCCGAGTTATATATATATATATATTACGGAATTCTCGAGCCTTGCCGAGGGAATTACATCATTAATATAACGAGGGAAAGATAATTTGACGTTCCCCGTCACTCGTTAGTTATTGTCTGAAACACGTCACAACTTAAATTCTGGACTCACAAAAGTCCAGAAACTCTCCGCACTGTGGGCACTTTCTGACAAGTGATTTGACCAAATTGAACATGCAGTTGTTATGAAAATATGCCAAGGATGAAAAAATGAAAATAAAATGCGAAAACTTTACATTTAAACTCGCTCATGGGCGAGAATGTTTAAGTTTCCTCAGAATTCATGTTTTTGGAGGTTGTAAATGAATGAGTGTATGTTTATAAGCATCATTACACAAAATTCTACTTATTTTGACTTAATTCGACTAACTTAGGGCGATATTAAAAAATCTTGCACATGGGCGAAAAATATGTTGACCCATGGGCGCGATTGTTTAATTTCGCTCAGAATTCATGTTTTGGAGGTTGTAAATGAATGAGTGTACAAATTTCAGCTCATTTTGACTTAATTCGACTAAGTTAGAACGATATTAAAAACTCTCGCCCATCAAATTATATATTCTGTGAGACATGAAATGAAAAATAGTGAAAAAAATGATTTTTCGTGATGTTGCATTGCTGTACCTTTACCAGTCGGAGAAGTCCTTCTCAAAAGATATATATTCCGTTGCTTGGAGCAGGCCTATATGACTATTACGCCCCATTGCTGCTAAACAACTCGTACACCTTTAGTCTGACATAGACGCAGACCTTGCATGTTCAAGTTCACATCTGATAGGGGCCGAAAACATTGAATCCGACATGAATGCAACATCTCATTGGGTTATTGTTTTCCTAAGCAAGTAGAGTGTCTTCTACAACATTGGAGACAAGTGTATCGCTGTCCTTCTGATATTCCCCCGAACGGAAGCTCTACCCATTTTAGGTACAATGTGCATGTTACAGAATAGTAGGGTATAGTCTTAAGACGTTTCAACATTGACCGGGATTCTCCGAACTTGTAACAGTCGTTTGAGAGATCAGAAGAGAAAGGGGTAGTGCGCGATGTATCTGACGGACGTATGTGGAGAACGTTTGAAGAATGTTACTGTATAAATACAATAATTGAAATACGGGTTATGATTAGCAAGTACTCTCAATCTGATATCCAGAGAGATTATTGTGAAGGATCGCAGTATTTATCTTCATAAACGGGTCAAGATAAAAATACATGCCATTCATCCCCATATTATATCCCTTCTATATACAAGGGACATCGTTGTTACAGATAGGGCAAATACTTTCTTCTATAGGTATCTGCCGGTTTCACGCTACATACATGTATTCAGATTTGTGAGAAAACTAGCGACGCAAGATCTCCTTCATCACACATATAATTGTATACATACCCAGTGATTAGTGATAGCGTAGAAGCAACTTATTAAAATAAACTGCAGTAGTACTGCCATACCTAGCATCGTATTTATTACTCTCTTACATAAGGTGAAATATCACAGGGTTGTCATGGTAACGATAATTTGGCACACTATTTCTTGTCTTACTCTTTAATCAGCGATTAGAATTTAAATCAGTTTTGAGGTCAGCATGTTAAGAGAAAAGAAGTTGTAAAACGAAAAGTATTGTGATCGAATCTATTGGCCTTTGTAAAAGCAAGTTTCAAGCCACCTTCATGATAAATATCTGCTAATCCGTGGCTTGATTCCGACCATATCATGAGCATGTGTTTGTGAATCATAATCAAATAGTGATGTTACAAGGCGTCCATGCCGCGTCAACAACACATGCAAACGCACGAGAATTTCAATGCGAGCCCCTACACCAATGTGACCTGGAGACACTTGTGACTGAGCGTATATAGGGACCTAGTCTGTCATACAGACCCTTAAGCAAATATATCCAAGTCCACGCAAGTCTAGAAAATGTGGCAAGTCTAGAGTTCCACAGCTTCAGGAGAATGTCTCAGGGCTCCTTTTTATTATATTTCTCTTTTTTATTATGAACTTTTTTTCTGTAAAATATGTTCATTTCAGAGACCAGTTGTTCGTCTAGTAGGGACGGGTAGAAGACAAAAGACAAAATGGATACTCGTCCTGTCATACTTTTGAATTATATGTAAACATTCGTTCTTGTCTCGGGATAAATGTATATTTTCCAGTTTCAACCAAATGTACATTCGAAGGATATCGAAATCTAGGTTAAGCTATTTGAATCATATTAACAATTGAAAGACCCAAACAATGGTCTGTTTTCCAAATTGTTGGTTTTCCATGCCTTGTCCCAGTCTGTATCAACAGTCACAGACCGATATTATTTCCCCTTCTGTCCAGCCCTTACTGTAATATGTATACTGCAATACTGTATATGTTGCACATATACTACACAATGTATTATGCATGTAGTCAATGCTATGCAAAGCAACGTCCACTTGTAGTCAAGATTACACCTGGTTAGAGATGCAAACAAATGTGTATTCGTATGTGCATTTTAATGAAATGAGGAAGCAAGCAAGCAAAATCATAGTATGCATAAAAATCAAGTTGGTACACTGGAACTCGTTATCATCGGAGGAAGCTCACAGTTTACCTGTATGGACGATCTATTGTAAGTACGTGTTGTCTATCTGTAGTAGACAGACCCGTTACCTAGCATGTAGAGCACGGACACACTGCTCGTGCATCCCTCACACTCAAGTGCACGTGCTTCACAACATTCACAGCGCGTTCACCGTTAACATCTGGCGGTGCGTGTCACTGACTGAAGAGGCGTTGACAACTTCATGAGCGCATATTATCATATTTATCTAAATCATATACATTGTTCATTTACATCACATGTGAATCTCTGCAAAAGCGCAATGTTACTGTAAACAACACAGTTTTATGCACAGTTATACTGATGTTAACATATGTAAAGCATGGAGGCATGATGACTATCGACAGTAACTGTTCATGAGATCGGGCAAGGGCATTATGGAAATTTCAAACAAGCTATCTCATGACTGTAATAGTGTTCATTTGTCTTGACTCAGACTAATCACCACCTTGAGTTTAGTAGACTCTCACACTTCATCGAAGTGCTGTTGGCCACCTTTCTCACCGGCCCGTCCCCCATCTTAATGAGGATGCATGACCCCGCTGGACACCCATGACGCCTCAACTTTCTTATATACAAGACTAGTTATGGCCCTTCGAGCTTCTTGCGCTGCTCGGGTCCGGTAAGATCTTCATTCATGATAAATCGTGTCAACTGACAAGTTATGTGTTCTCCTATGGTCCTCATATAGCTTCCCGTCTCGATTACGATTTGTGAATCTTAAATCTGAATCTTATATGTGTTATTCAGAATGGTTGCATTGTATTCTCTCTTCAGAAACAGTTTTAAAAAGGAAGTAATAAAACTATGTTTTTCAATTGTAATGCTAGAAAATAAAATGTTATATATACACATACTTCACTTTCCGAATGAAAGCATATATGAAATTATCTGCTGTGTCCATATATGAAACAACCATAGGTATGTGCTTGATGTTTAACAAATTATGTTCTTGTCACGTGTCCTCGTTGATCATGGAGGGTCGGTTTGCTTGGTTGATCCCGGTTCAATTTCCCATATTTGCATAATGTGTGAGGCCACCCCCTAGATATTGCTGGAATATGACAAAAAGCGGCGCAAACCACACTCACTTGCTCACTCGTTGATTACAGAGTAACGGCATGCTACGAGATTCCTTCTTATCGTTTATTTGCATATCTCCTTAAAGGCATTGTAACTCTTTAACCTTGTATGAAAACGCATTTAGATGATATCAGCTTTTACTGACATTATTGTAACATGCAATTTGTATGTGTCTCTGTATGGTTCATACACGGACATGGGCGACGGCAAAATAGTCGGGGCTGCATGAAATACATTAGTCTGTCTCACAGTCCCTGAACCACATTATTTTCCCTACTGCCAAGCTCTCTCACAAGACCAAAAACCTGATAGTAAACCATTGAAATAAACGTAAATACAGTAGGAAATACATGCCTTGACCGGATTTACGTATGTTTTCAGATATTTCCTAACTTCGGGCATATATTTCATATGAATCTATACCTTTGAAACATATGCTCATCGTACATTTTCGTATGCACAAGAACCTCGTTCATGTATGCCATGACCGGATTGTCAGGTATTCCCAAACATGAATTACAAAACAGATAACCCAGTAAATACATGATCATACAGTATTTCCGATGCATTCCTTTGAATTTCAATTGGTGCTGAAATTTACGATTTCGTTCTAAGTTTACCCAGGTTGGAAACATGTAAATCTACTTAGGTGGGGAAACACTTGTAAATTTTCACATGTGCAAATGTTTACACACCTTAGATATTTATGTATCATACCGGATTTCAGGGGTATGTATATGAACTGTTCATACACCATCATGTTCCTGTGCTCAAGCAAGATGATCATTTGTTTCCATCATGTGAATTACTTGGTTCATGTAATTTCATTTTCACACATTTTAGTACGTTTGAAATCAACTTTCACGTAACCTCATTATTCTTATCATCAAAAGAGCCTGACTAAGAAAGCGGTATTACACAAGCTAACATGGCTTATTAAGCTGCGCTCGCACTTGTTGCCAGTATCAGTTACCCTTTGTCTGCGGTGTTGGCAAATCTTGTGAGTGGTGAACAAAAGGGCGATGAGCTGCCCCTTCGTCCTTGCAAGTGTCCCTAGCAGTCCCAACAGAATAGCACTTTATCTCTCTTGTAGTCTGTCTCACAGTCCCTGAACCACATTATTTTCCCTGCTGCCAAGCCCTCTCTGCAGTGCTAAAGCCGTAAATAAAGCATATCTAGATTTCCACAGGTTCTGAATCTCTAGTCTCCCCGGGGCTCCTTTCCAATTTAAATGGGCTTGTCTGTTACTATCAAAATTATATATATTCAGAGACTAAGCATTAGTCTATCTCTCTTTGAGCACGGCAAAATACGCTACACGAACCAACTCGTAATTTCTTAAGTCTCTTCAGCTCGCGGATCAGTACTGTAAAATAAGTTTTGGCAGTACATAACTGGAATATTATTGCACTGCATGTGACCTTTCTTAATAGTCTCATAGTGCCTGAACCATGTTATTTCTCCTTCCGCTCAGACTTTGCTGTAATAATGCCACACAAAAAATAGTTTTTATCGTGTAACGATTATGTCTGGATGGCACAGGCGGGTGAGACATTGTCAGTTTCCATTGTATTACTACTGCATTCAACAAACAAGGTGTTTTAGATTGGACTTATTTTATGATAGTATCAGGGAAATTTTGTTTCACAATCTAATTTCTGTGCCTTTTGTAAAATTTGTCTTGATTGTCCTGTTTAAATTGACGATCCATAAACCCAGAGCCCGAAAGCAAATGTGTCACACAAGTAAATGTGATGTGGCATTGCTGCAATTTTCAGTGTCGGAGAAGTCCTTCTAACAAGATATATATTCCGTTGTTTGGAGCAGGCCTATGACTATTACACCCCAGTGTTGCTAAACATCTTGCAGACCTTTAACCTGACATAGATGTTCAACTTCAGATCTGACAGGTGCCGAAAATATTGATTCCGGCAAGAATGCAATATCTCAGTGGGTTATTGTTTTCCTAAGTGAGTGGAGTGCTTTCTACAACATTGGAGATAATGGTATCGTTGTCTTCCTGATATTCCCCCGAACGGAAGCTCTACCCATTTATGGTACAATGTGTAAGTTACAGATTTGTAGGGAATAGTCTTAAGACTTTTCTACTTTGACAAGGATTCTTCGAACTTGCAAAAGTCGTTTGAGAAGATCAAGAGAGAAAGGGGTAGTGTGCAATGTATCTGGCGGACGTATTTGGAGAAAGTTCGAAGAATGTTTCTGTATAAATACAATAATAGAAATACCGGTTATGTTTGAAACGTACCCTCAATCTGATAGCCAGTGAGATTATTGTGAAAGATCGCAATATGTATCATCATAAACGGGCCCAGATAAAAGTACATTCATTCATTCCCACATTATATCCCCTTTATAGACACGGGACATGGTTGTTACAGGTAGGGCAAACACTTTCTTCTATAGGTATCTGCCTGTTTCACGCTACAAACATGTATTCAGATTACTGAGAAAAGTAGCGACTCAGGTTCTCCTCCATCACACATATAATTGTATAGATATCCAGTGATTAGGGATAGCGCTGCAGCAACTTATTGAAATTTACGACATACACTATCATCTGCAGTAGTACTGCTATACCCAGCATCGTAATTATTTCTCTCTTACATAAGGTGAAATGTCACAGGGTTGTCATGGTAACGATAATTTGGCATACTATTTATTATCTTATTCTTTGATCTACGATTAGAATTTAAATCAGTTTTGCCGTGAGCATCTTTAGAGAAAAGAAGCTGTAAAACGAATATTAATGTGATCGAACCTATAGGCCTTTGTTAAAGCGCGTTTCAAGCAACCTACATAAAAAACCTTCATGATAATTATCTGCTAATCCATGGATATCATGGGCATGTGTTTGTGAATCATAATCAAATAGTGATCTTACGAGGCGGCCAAGCCGCGTCAACAACACATGGAAACGTACGTGAATTGCAATACGGGTCCCTAAACCACTGATGCTCCGTGACCTGGAGACACAATTCATGTGATTGAGCGTATGTAGGCAAAAGACAAAATGGATACTCGTGCTGTTATGCTTTTGAATTATTAAGTGTTCGTTCTTGTCACGGGATACAAGTATACTTTCCAGTTTCAACCAAATGTACATTCGAAGGATATCGATATCTAGGTTAAGCTGTTGGAATCATATTAACAATTGAAAGACTCAAACAATGGTCAGTTGTCCAAATATTTTGTTTTCCATATCTTGTCCCAATCTGTATCCAGAGACCATACAATAGTCTATTATATAGTCTCTGTCTTATCATAGTCAGAGAACGATATTATTTTCCCTTCCGCCCAGCCCTTACTGTAATGCTTACGCCCTAAATGAAGCATATCTAGATATTCCCAGGTACAGCGTCTGTTAAAACTCACTGCAGGGTTCGTGTTACAGAGTAAACAATACCAAACACCGGCGGCTGGCGGGGACCAACATCTTCAGTAACATTTACATCTGCCAACGCTTAATTCGCAAGTGGTGAGGCAATACGCTAATGAGGCTAAGGGTCCTGTACCATGCTTGTGAAATATCTATGATGCCTTATATTTAGTCTATAATCTAAGTAAGTCTAGCTATGTATGGCTTTAAGTCACTGCTTGAAGAAAAGCTCCTTTAGAATTTGATTTGGTAAATAGTAGTATTTCACTGACTCATTCGAAAACGCATAGCAGCCTATAATTCATTGTGACTATGATTAAGTCATCACTGTAAAACACAAGGGTTATTTCCTTTGAGTTAACTGACAGGCTTTCGGTATCAAATATTTAGAACTCCAGCCAAAGGTGGTAATATGGCGTTTTTGTAATGCTTTTGTTGTACTTAATGATAAGTGATTGTTAAATGTACATATGATGTTTTTGAAGGATAATCTCAGCTGACTCAGAGACTTTGCACGTGTTTTCCTCCACTCTTTCCACACCCATCCTTCAGTTTTTATGTTTGTGACATGATCTGCACACTGATAACTTAAAGCAGGTATATACATAATAACTGTTTGCAATCTTTACCCAATGTAGTTTTCCATTTATTTAGCAATTTTCAGTTTCTATTAATTTCTGGAAATTTTGTACGGAGGTACATTTAATTAACGGTTTCACCCAATAACAGTAAAGCATAGTCATAAAACGTTTCGGTACTTTGATAGATTAATAAGTTCACATTATATTCCATGATATTGGGATGCCAAAATGATTAACATTATCATATAATGTATAACAAATCAGACAGCAAAAAGCAAAAATTAAAAACGCATAAGCAACCTAAATGATGTCAGGGAGTAAGCTTTCAATATTTACAGAAACTGCTTAGTTATCTAACTTTATGAACTAATTGCAATCACTACAGTTTTCTATAATCTACCTACGAGATGGAATCAAAATAGGTGTACAGTATATTCCGTCGGGTAACTGAAATTTGAGGAAACGTCCGTGTGGGACAACATCTATATTCCGAATCAAAAGAGGCCATCTGACGTAGTGGTGTAACGATTCATCGATAGTATCGATGTTTGCATAGTCAACTATGCGATACGAATGCATCAGTACAAAACACATTTAGGCAATACATCAGGATATTAATATCGCAAGGGCTGTGATACATCGATGTATCGCCACAAGAGACCTTATATCCCGATACTACATAAGTACTACTGAAAGTTGTAAGGAGTACTGAATTAGGAAAAGGAAGGGAGTCTCTTTGAAATTCTTCTGAAGTGATCCTTGTACTGTGAGGCGAACAGATGAAAAAAAAATCACAACGAGTTTAAGGTAGCTGGTCACGTGATCATTATCGTATTATAGTTTCAGACCATCACACCGATTGCAAATGAGATATTCTTCAAGATCATTAAGGTTAACAGCTGTGTTTGTTCAAACATGCCATAGAAAGTCAAGTGAGTGTATGAGTGTTTTTTTCCAACACGTGGGCGGACATACATACATACCATTGCAACCGCTTCACAATATATTATATGCACAAATATTCTACATACACAATGAATTTTAGCAGAGTGGGTCGTTTATGTTTCCGTAGTTTCACCAGAAGACATTTTGGATAATAAATATCACACTTTTAATATAATCATACACAATTAAGTGTTTTGCCATATATTCTTACAAACGTAGCTGCAAATACTTGCAATACTGCTGACTCACCTTTAAGCAATATTTACGTATTCACTGACTAAGTCTTTTGTCACTCCAGATGTTTTGTATGCATGCGTTGGTTATGTACAGCAAAGTATACTATGTATACAGCTTAGTATTTCTAAGTAACCCACCTTCGTCACACTTTGGTGTGAAAGGTGTCAGTTGAGTTTACACAGGACCCTTTGTGTGCCCTGTTGATACTATTTACACTCATATGGTCCTGCTTGCGGGTGCAATATAGCCATTATGTCACTGCATTCACCATACATTACGGATTTCCAAATTACATAAATACCTACACTGAGCACTTATTATCTTAACTTGACAACGACTGGTAAACATCTTTTGTATTCAATGAATAACCTGTAAACACCATTCGACAGCTTAACTACTGCACCTGTGACAAACAAATGTACTATGTGAACACCGAGAGGAGAGAGCAAGGTTCACATTCGTCATGTGGAGGCACCTTTAGGACAATTGTGCATGTAGCTATGAGAAGAAGTACCGCAACCTTTGAATATGACTTAGCTCTTTGTCCAGAAAATGTATACCAGTTCAGGCATAAAAAGAGGGGTATGGTCTTACAACAGCACGTAGCTCTCTTGATTCCAGCAGCGAGATTCTGACTTGGTTTCTGTTAAGCCCGGCAAAGCCATAATATACCATTACACTGATTAAATTGCTACAGTTCACAGAGGTGTCATAGCTCAGCACAGTTATCATTGAGGTATACAGACCAAAATAATGTTAAACACGCCCCTTATGAAACTACGTCAGTGTTAAGTATCATGTGAACACATCGCACTAATATATCGAAGTGTCCAAACTAATACTTCGAAGTGTTCAAACTAATACATCGAAGTGTTCAAACTAATACATCGAAGTGTTCAAACTAATGCATCGAAGTGTAAAGAAAGGAAAGCCTGGTAGGTTGCAAAGCTTTATATTTAGTTATTGTTGAGAGCTTGCCATGTGTGAGCCCGGGCTTTTTTTCATGATGGTAGCTACGCCCCTGTTTACCTTCGTCCTTTATTTTGCGCAAGGTACTGACAGATATACCAGTAGCATCGCTGGCATTTTTGAGTGCACTGTGTGTGCTGTCGGAAATAGTACACATGTATTGAATGACATTGTAGGCAACCTCGCGTGTTATCGTCTCGACTCATTAAACTGGTATCAGGATATATCGTCTCTCCACTTAGACTACGAAGCACAGCTCTAATACCAAGTATGTGCATATTTACACATTTACAACAGTACTTCACATCATTAATACATGATTGTAATCATCTTTTCGAAAGTATAGAAAATGAAATTTGTGCAGCTATGTGAACACACCTGTCTGTGTTTTATTGCAATAAGCAGTCTCTCCTTGTATGTCATATTTAACAAGTGTATATAAGGTCAATTATTTAATCTATAATGTAATTTCCATTACAAAATGTATAAACGGTATTACCTACTGATCAGAAAGGATTATCAGTACCCCACCGCCACCACCCAACCGTAGGCCTACCCCATACCACACCCTCTCCCTCTCACACACATGCACACACACACTCCCTAACATGCATATCGCTCTGGCCCATAGACCCAATATTGTTACCTTTTAAACAGACATCAAGTGTATGTTTAGAAAAGCAGGCACATTAATAGTGGTGCTCAGTCATGGGTATCACATCATCATGTGTTTCTAATGATCTCCGTGCATTATGGCGTGGTCCGACGCGCTAACGAACCCGATGTGACAGTTACATTACAAAACCATTGAAATACATGTTAAAGTCGTGTTAATCTTATAACACTATATTTACCCATTACCAACCATTTACGCGTGTACTAAATATATGACAAACCTAACCCTGGTCATACGAGATTTCAAGGGTATTGAAATGCATGTCCTACAATCACAGCATTTACATACATTACACATGCTAGAAAACACGTGAAAACAATGGCCAGATTTACACACCTGTAAAATACAAGTAAATACAGAGTTGAGTGTTCGTTTATTTTAACACCCCTTTAAACGTGTGTAAATCTGTCAGCCAGATGATACGTAGATTTAAAACGTTGTTCATATGGCCGCCGGATGAAACGTATATTCCCTAATGTTAGTAAATTTGGGTAATACAGTCATTTTGTGTGGTGTCTCTGTAGTGCTAAAGCCATAAATAAAGCAAGTCTAGATTTCCTCAGGTAATCTCTGGTCTCCCTGGGGCTACTTTTCAATTTAAATGGGCTTGTTTGTTACTATCACAATTATATGTATTGAGGGACTAAGCATTAGTCTAGAAATACATGGACGTGTTGGTTATAATGAAGTGAGTGGGTGAGTTTAGTTTTACCTGCTTTTAGCAATATTCCGGCAATATCACGGCGGGGGACACCTAAAATGGGTTTCACACATAGTAACCTTTGGGGAATCGAACCCGGGTCTTCGGCGTGACGAGTGAACGCTTTAACCACTTGGCTACCCCGCAACCCAAACAATGGCTGAACGTTTGTCAAGTTATATTTATCAATAATATCATTTGCAAGGCATTACATGTACATGACTTCATACTCATAGGCATATATAAAGAGATTATTCATATTGGTCAACCCATTTCGATCATTATTAAAAAGAGTAGTAGAAGTAATCATAGTCCGAGACCAAGTCCAACAAAAGCCTCTGCAAAGCTTTATTTCACAAATAAAGCTTTTGTCAGGCCGTTAGATCTCGCCCCAGTATATCTACCACTTTTGAGCCCCCAGTTAACTTCCCGCCCTCACTTGGCACTACTGTGCCGCTATGCCACGTTGGCAGGAGGTAACATTGTGCCGTACGGTACGATCAATAATTCCTCTCTAACGAAAGCTCCCCCGGCCCATCCCTCAAGTAGTACAAGTACGGCTCGTGGGCTTTGATGTCTACTTTATCTATGTTGTAAGTTTTGACTGACCATATAGGATCGGTGGCTCGCTTATGACTATCACCCTCGTGTTCCCCCGGCTGGTATAGGTACCTCACTAGGGCCCTATCGGGTATCTGTTTCTCCCTCCCACGCAACGGCGCAGTAGACTCAGCTACTATTGATTTTAGTTTGATAGCGTCTGCTGGTTTCTTGCCGGTGAGCCGAGTGGCTTCATGGTTGATGGCCGACACCACCCGAGGTAGCCGCGCTTCCCATTCAGTCGATTGTTTCCCCGGGTTGGCCATCTCTCTCGCATACTGATGGCCGAATAGCGCTCACCCAAAGTCCTATTGAATCTTTCAACTATGGCTTGGCTGCGATGGGCTCCGGCCGTGCCACGCCTGACCTTGGTATCGTGTTTGTTCAGCAGGTGTGACACGGCACCCATGAACTCCTGCCCGGGGTCAACTTGGAGCTCTGTTGGCCATGTCAGCGGACTGTGCTTGCATATGCGTTCGAATCCGCGGGCTACCTGGGCCGAGTCTTTCGCGGTTAAGGGT